AATTTGACATGGAACAAACTCGGGTGCACACGACAAAGCTGTCATTTAGGGTGAACCTTAATGCACCAAAATCAACATTGATCTCGGAACTCAAGAGGTAGCCAATTTTTTGTTTGAACATTATACCTCCAGTTACAACTCTGGTTACAAGATCTCATTTCTCAATACTCAAAGGTAAGACTTGCATATTCCCATTTCACATAAGATTACAATAAATTATGACTCAGTCCGTCACATGTAAACCTCAACGGTATACAGAATTTATCCCAAATGAATGTTACATTAATACACCTACCTTTGGAAACCGGGGGGGAAAAAGATAAATAATAAATTTTAATGTTACAACAACAACTGGATTGTTTCTTCCTGGAATTGTAAGAGGGGAAGAAAACATACCAATTGGTCATGAAACTGTAGCATTACCGCCTCAATCTGGTGGTAGAGATTGTGACGATAAACCACTGATTGTACAGGTTCAATCGCCTTTGTCTTTGCCTTTACTTTCAGAACATCTAGAAGCATCATAAGCAGAAACAAAGAAGGTGCTCTGGTTCTTCTGCAGAAATCTGTACGGAATTAGGAACTATTAGTAGGGAATCTGTGCTGAAATAAAAGCCTACAAATTTAAAAATTTATAAAACAAAAAGGGAAAACAATCTGCCTAGTGATACCTATTGACTGCAGCCTATAGTCAACTAAAGAACAACCTAGAAAATGTAAAACTAGAATTCAAACGGGTATTTTTTAAAAAGATTTTAGTGTAGGATGAAAGACTCGGATGATACTTCAGAAGGTCGAGTAACTTCTGCTGCAACCGGGTCAAAGTTTCCTCTTCAATGTTCACATAAGCCAGTAGCTCAGGCAGCTTCACTGCACAGACAAGGATACTTCAATGCTTGTTCAAGTATAGGAAGGAAAGTAAACATAATTCATAATAATTAAATACTTCTTTGGGTTTCTGGTATATAAATCTGGAAAAAAAAATTCAACAACAAGGTCCAAAATACTAATCATGGATTGACAAGGTAATTACTCATTTGAAAACTGGAAATTACTCAACTCTGGGAATTATGCCTCTTTGGAGGTCAATAACCTTACTTGCCCAAAAAAATTGTTAACATGGGATTAATTACCTCTAAGGTCCTACTAGAAAAATCCTTTGCTTCCAAATTGAATTTGATGCAAGATGAACAAATAAATTACTGAAATATGATAACTACACATGTGGCAATATCATTTCTCATGTTTTGTTTTGTTTTTTTTTTTGAGGAAATGCGATTTCTCAAATTACATACACTTTTATACAATGAAAAGGTAAACCAACTGTGAGTACTACATTAGACACATACCAAAGAGGCGTAATAAATGCTCAGCACCATATACAGTTGATGGAGAGACATCATCCCCAACTGTTTCTTGATATTGTTGGCGTTCCTTTTTGTACAGGAGTATTACAGGCAATGCTTTGTCAAAATAACATCGTATCCCCTTCAAGATTTCTCCAATTGAATCAGCCACCCTGTCAGGGAAAACATTCATTAAACAACCATCAAAAGTATAGCTACATATTCACGTACATAGATAGATCCCAATTTGTAATTACTTGTAAGTTCCGGAAATTCGGGGATGCAAATCTCATGGGGTAGATACATGGATGCATATATGTGTTGAATTCACATGCACATTCAGATAGAAGAAAACCTTAACCATTGTACACCCTAATCCAACATCTAACACGACATAGTTTTTCAAGTTATATAGGTAGGGCTACTCTGCTAGAACTATTACCCACTTTTTACAACCCTCCCCCATTGTCCTCGTAACTTATAGGGTATATTACCTTACAATCTAGTCCTAGAATTTCTTTGTTCACAATTGATCCTTGAACGAATAAAACTATTTCAATTTGTGATCTTCTTAAGCAACTTTCAATATTTTAGTTTCTAGTAGAAATTCTATCTGTTTTCCCATAATTTTGTTTTTTTATAGAGTTTAAAAGTTATAACAATTAAAGATTAACCTTATAAGAACAATGAGATTGTTTTATTTAAGCCATGCAAATGACAGTAACAGGAAATCGGAGAGAAGGATATGTCTAATAACAACTTTTTAATTTTTTTTTTTAACCATTAGTCTTAAATAAGAGAACTAAATTTTGAGTTATTTTTGTCACCCAAACAATACAAAAACTTCTGTTATTTCTGTTAAAAAAGACCTCTTTAAAAAATTACATTTTAAAATAATTTTGCACGTTCAGATTCTAAATTGTTAAAAAAAAATTGGGACTGAATTGCAACATAGCTAAGAGCTCAGAAACTAAATTGGTAATTTGCTTTTTTCTAAACTAAGAGGATATCTCTATTTAGCTTACACTTCACTGAATAAAATGTGCCTACCAAATTCATCCCTTCACAAACCATAAAAACTAATAATCCTTACTAACTATTTTTCAAGCATGAGAAAAGAATTGCCTCCAAATGAAGGTTAAGACCTTGAGAAAAAGCCATGGGTGTAGGTAGCCAAAAAGTGCCTATAATCATCTAGTTCACCAAGATCCAAAAGTTGAAGTGCATTGTTGAAGTTTATCTGAGCTACCAATATTACATTAGAGGAATCATGGGAGAAGGATAAGCAAGATTATCAGAAACTGATCTTAAAAGGAAAACTTACATGCCATCTTTCTTTGTCCTGTATTCAAGATACTTGGTCAAAATATCATCAATACTAGGTGAACGAGGAAGTTTAACAAGCTGCAGAGGGAAAAGGATACCCCACCAAATCAATGTGAATGTTTTCTTAACAAATAAAATTATTGAAAATGGAATAAGATTGTAACTCAATCAATCAAAACCTGATTGAAAGGTAGCTGCAATCATTCCATGAGGAGATTCCAGAAATGAAATAATCATAATTGCTGTAGGTCACTAAAACTCTGAACTCAAATATGCATAGACAGAAACCTATGTGTACTTAGGAAATGGATTATGAAGTCAACTAAATGCGACTTGCAGGCCTAGAAAATAAAAAGGAGTATAGTCTTCATGTGTTACCAGGATTTTTATTCATGTGCCTTGATTCTACTAAAAATGCAATGGCAAACAATTTGTAGCATATCCCTGAATGGATGAAAAGGTGGTGCATGACATCTTCTGGTTGATTATTTAGATAGTCTGGATTGCTGAAAAGGTGATCGCCAACTAGCGTTGTAATATATCCCAATGATCAAAAAAGGTCTAATAAGACATATAGGACAATAAAAAAAGAATCTTATCCACCATATTCAACTGCTGAGAAATTCATGGAAACAATTAAAGCATGCAAATATAAATAACAAACAGTTAAACAATTTACAACCATAGCATCCATGCCCCAATTCAACTTGAATAATCTTCAAGAACTAATGCAATAATGCTAAGGCGATCAGTGAAACAGTTCATAAAAATACACCTTATCCTGCTGAGTTACAAATTCCCAATCATCAACAAGCTGCTTCTTTAGTGTTGAAGGAATTTGAATCTTGACGAGCTTTTCCACAGAAAGATTATCCTTCTAAAAATAATGAAAAGACATCCAGTTCAGCAACGTCAAAGCAAAATTCAATCAAAACCTTAAGAACCAAAAGACTCCCAGCTTGAAATATGTCAATCCCATGCACATATGCTGCACTAATATGTATGTGCAACTCCACCTTGTGCATGGAATAATTTTAGGTATAAAAAACATTTCCAAGCTTAGTCTTATAGGCCCAAAGTTAGGCATATTAAGCGGAGCAGGAGTCTACCATAGGGCAGTAAAGAATAAAGAAATAGAAAACGGTAGATATGGAAAACAAGAATATTTTTATCATCCAGTGCAATGTTAAATAATATACAAAGCAAACCTCAATGCCTGATTCAACCTTCCGCTTCTTCCCTTTTGCCACTGCAATAAATATTGACATTTATGAAAACAATGTTCACTATTCACTCAATACACCATTGAATATACGCAGAACGGAAACAAGAACACAAACGTTTCTTTGAAAACATAAAATAATGGTCATCATTTTCTGTTCACATTGCATTAAGAGGAATAGTCCTGGAAGTGAATGACGTCATTGAGGACAATGCATAAAACCAAGACACTGATCTTAGTACGCACTCAATTTTTGTGTATCTATTGAGAAAAAGAAATGCTTTTAAGAATCCTTGTTCTGACCCTCCTCTCAATTTCTATAGGACTCCTGAGCCTGTTAAGCAAGTTTAACAATCATAATATTGGAAGATGCATTAACAGAGATAACTGTTCATGAAATAGCGCCAGTTCTTTCAAAAAGACAAAAGAATGACAATATTTTTATGCAACACAGTCCTGGAAGTGAATGACGTCATTGAGGACAATGCATAAAACCAAGACACTGATCTTAGTACGCACTCAATTTTTGTGTATCTATTGAGAAAAAGAAATGCTTTTAAGAATCCTTGTTCTGACCCTCCTCTCAATTTCTATAGGACTCCTGAGCCTGTTAAGCAAGTTTAACAATCATAATATTGGAAGATGCATTAACAGAGATAACTGTTCATGAAATAGCGCCAGTTCTTTCAAAAAGACAAAAGAATGACAATATTTTTATGCAACACAGTGCACAATGAAATCAAAGAGAAAATTAGGTGTTAATAGATGGGAAAATCAACATCAGAATAACCTAAAAATTTAATCCAAATGTTTAAGATATTTGAAAGGTGTACCTAAGAAATGTTATGCATTAAGCTCTCTTAAATGATCAAGCGCATTACTAGAAGACCAATCACAGAGAGTTCAATTTCAATGACATATCTCAATGCATTTGTTACTAGACTACCTGCAAAGTCTCAAGCTTCTTTTAGCACCTATACCTTGGGTATTTATATCGAATAGCAATTTATGCTGCTAGCAATAATGAAAAATATCTAGCCATATTCAGGTTGACTCTCAACCAGACACTGCATCCACCATAAGCATTGCCCATTTACGTGTTAAGTCCACCAAACTTGGACATGTTTTTACTCAACCCCAGAAAATTACTTCCACATGTGATCTTTCAACAAAATTTCATTCTTTATCAGTAATTACTTTAGGTAGTTTTCCTATAGAAAAAGAATACCTTTCAGTAGAAAAAGAGTGGTACATGCACACACAAGACTCAAGAAAGTAAAGCTTAAAAGAAAAGCAACAAATTTGTTGAACAGATAATGAAAAAAGAGGGAAATGAAATGCTTTTTGAAGGATGACCAACCTGTTAACTGATTATTATATTTTAATGGCATCCCTAACAAAATAAACCAGAAGTGAAGCTGAAACAATTTCCTACGGCAAGAAATTTAATTTTTTTAAATGAAAATCTAAATCCTGCCCTAGGAAGAGAGCTAGTTGGTCGCCCTGACTTAACTTCAAGGTATCAGCTCAAAGTCCCTTACCAAACTAAAATTCAGAGGCAACAAAGTGTAAAATTGACAACATACCATTGCTCTTAAGGTCCTCTTTATCCACTTTTGCATCTATAAAAACAAAAGCAAAATACGTGGAATCAATAAACATAAAATTATTAGACCACAAATAGAAAAATTGGGCCCCTTCCCATAAACCTAAATTTTGAGATGAAAGGTCTGCAACCAGTGGTTAATGTGATATTTGGTACAAGTGCTAAGCTCAAACCTTAGCATCATAGTGCACAACCCATTGAGAGTTTAGGTTGTTTAGTTTTAGACATTACATGGTAAACTTGCTATCTTGCTTATACATTAGAGGACATGCAACTGTAAATAGTAAAGTTGAGCCATTTCCTATAAACTAAAGCTTTTAGGAAGCCAAAAACCTAACCAAAAGGTTCAAGGCAGTTCTCTGGCCCAAATATCTACATGAATTTAAAATAAGAAATACCAAAATATCAAGCTCACCAGTAGAACTTTTTGCCTTCGCTTGTGCAGAACGTGCAGACTTTGAACTCTTGTCGACTCCCAACTTTTTTTCAAGGGCTTGCTGCTTCATTATATTCTCCTCGTTATGTTTCATCAGCCTATCAGCACTTACCCACTCGTCCCAACTGTTGCCAAGATGCCCAAGTAGTAATCATTGCTGTATCCCTTCTTGAGAAAGGGGTCATATATCAATCAAAATACACTATTCCAATATAGAATATGAAACTTCTGCTAAACCTTTCAGTCTGCCACAGTAGGAAAATGTTGAAACCAAAATTTTCATCATATAAGACTGCATTAAGAATGAATTAAAGACATTTGCTCCACTTGTTTAAAGTATTAATTTATACTCTACATTCTCTCACTGAAGCATCCCCCCCAACCCAAACCGGGGGTAATATTTTTACTATATTTGATCGCATTATGAATTAAAGACATTTGCTCCATTTGCTTAAAGTATTAATTTATACTCTATATTCTTCTGCTGAAGCACCCCCCCAAACCCAAACCAGGGTAATATTCCATTTTCATTATTTATCTAATTGAATGATTACACTTTTTTCTAATGTTATTTACGAAAATAACCAAAAGATTAAAATGTTATATCTATATGGATATAATGTTCAAAAGATTTTAAGTTTTTTAATCCTAAACTAACAAAACATGGTAAAATAAGAGATAAACCTATTCTTTTTAAAATTGACTCCTATTACGGGACTAGGGAACATTACCGTATAACTTTGCAGAAGGGAAAAGTAGAAAAGGAAATATTAAGTCACTAAATCATTTTTTACAAAGGAATCTGGTGTAACGTATAAGACAATCCAATTCCATATGCAAGACTAATTTTGAAAAAAGAAAAGGAAAGACAGAGAGGGAATGGCCTTTCAATCCTGTGTTTTCTACCTCCTTAAGTTTTGATATTTGAACTTGACACTTACAGAAAGGTGGGAGAGCAGAAGCATACTCACTTTTTGTTCCAACCCTGCAAACACAATTTTCAAATGCTTAGTATTATAACATATTGCCGGATCAAGAAAAGGATTCTTAAATAACATTTCAAAAGTAACATATGCCAGATCAGGAAAGCACTTACAAGGTAATGAACAAAGTATTTCCATTCCTTCTTCCGAAGTTCAGCTTTTTGAACCTAAAAACATAAAAGCAATAAACAGAACAGGCTTATAAGGACAATAATTTAAAGTACCAAGCAACAGAGTAATAACAATTGTCACTTTACAAGAGTGAGCATACTAATTACTCCAAAGACGGATTGGAAGGTAAATATAGAACAAGCTTCTACATCAATAATATCACATATCACTTAACAAAAACAAATCTCATGTTCAAGAACACCCAAAATCACATAGCCTCAATTAAACATAGGGTACTCTACTCAACTGTGATAATAAAATGCCAGAAGTGAACTGCCAAAACTACACTCCCAAAACAGACACCAAGATTGTACTTCTAAATCAATCCCTTAAAAACGTAGAGTGCAATGAACAATCAAGCATATAAAGTAACAACGTAAAATAGCAAGATTACCATGCATTTCAAACCGAGTGATAGTTAACCTTGCGTATATTATTAGGATAAGATTAAAGTGCAGCTACAAGTCTACGAGAAACTGAAGATCTCAACTTCAGAAACCAACTTGATTCCCAATAAATACACATTTTTGTCTATACTAGAATGCACCACTTGATATCTTTTTTTCTGAAAGGAAAAGTATAAAATGTATAACTATAAGCACCAAAGGGTGGTGCAACCCATTTACAGAAATTTACAAAACAGTCTTCAGGGGCCTAACAGAAACGATTCCAAGACCTCCTTTGGATGACCCAGCAACAAAAACTCTAGGGTCTTTACCCATCTATTTTTTAGAATATCAAAACCCTTATCCATGTCTACCCCCATAAACGCTCTTCTATTCTCTCCTTCCAAACAGTCCACCAAATAGTGAACGGAATAATCTCCACAAAGGAGCATCTGTCTCCCAAAAAATCTCAGACCCAAAGTTCATCCTTGACAGTACCAGCCATCACCCAGTCAACCCCCAACGCTCTGTACACCAATGGCACTCCTTGATATCTTAATGCCGGATTTTTCTGTAATGCACTTTTAGATATCAAATACACCCTTGTTGAGAACAATCATTTGACTGAATTTAATAGAAGCAATCAGTGCATAAACATAAAGTTTGGTTTGTTTGAAAGGACTACAATTGAACCCCACAACATCAACAGAAAAATAATTTATGCAATGAGCAATGTATAACATGTCAGTCTCCTGGTTAACATGAAATCAAGAAATAATATAAATAATAAAGAGCAGTTTCCTATAGTTTAAGCTTTGAAGCTTTGAAGAAATTGTTCAGCCAACCTATTTTCACAAATGGATCCTCCCTAAAAAAAAGTAAAAAAAAAAAAAAACAAAACAAAACTATTAATATCACCAATATTTCACAACTCCAACTCTCAAGATATGTGAAAACAACCTCAAAATTGTTGGCCATTTCGATTAAATAAAAGCTTTCAAGAAAATCTTGTGTATTAAATTGATCAATTCCATTTTGAAAACAATGTAGGAAATAAAGTCGGAGAGAGCATAAACCCTAACTCTATCACAGAGGTTGCTGAGTGAATGCTAATCTAGGGTCACATCATCGTCCTCTTCCTCAAAATACGTCAGCATCGAACGAACCCTAAGTTTAACGAATCCGAACTACGTAGCAAGCGAATCAAACTGTGACTCACAACAGCAACAGAAACAAGCTAAATCAAGTGAACAAGGAACAAAGAACTAAGCAGAAGTAGTGAGCAACAGAGATGCACAGGACGGAATGAAGCAGAAGACGACACCGAATTAGAAGAATTATAACGCAGAGAAAGAAGACACTAACCTTGGCTTCGTAAACGCGAGGGCCATGGTAGGCAAGCACACGCTCACCCTCGGAGAAGAGATTGGAATTGGCGGGGGCCGTGTCGCCGCTGGACGTATCGCCGTCAGTTCCGGCGTCCTCCTTCGACGAGCTTCCCATTTTTCCTTCAGCTGATACAGAGAGCGAGAGAGGACAAAAAGATGGCACTCGTTTGAAACAAAAAGGTGGGAACGAGAGTTGCAGTCTGGTCCGGACTCTACTCTCAGTACTAATCACTTTCAAAACTGAGTTTCCCTGCTCCCACAACTCGAGTTCTGAACTATAAACCGGAATTTCGCTCCGGTAATCAAAGTATTTAGATATAAGACTCAAATTTGAATCCATCCTAACTATAAATGTACAAATTCTTAACTTTTCCTCCATCTAAAACGAGTTTACTAAATATATTATGTTTCCTGCCAGATTCGATTTTTGGTGAAATTCAACCCAATCAAATTCGAATTATATATAAATATATATTTATATTTTTATTAAAATTAAAATTATATTATATACACATCGAATTAAAAATATATATATTAAATATTTTTAATTAAAATTTAAAAATATGTTATATAAATAAATCATCTTCAATCATTTTTTCCCCTAAACTTAAAATTAACTTAAGTCGTATTTAATCGAAAGTTAAACTAATAAGATTTAACTTAAATAAGAAAATCAACAATAATGATAAGTCAATTCCAGTTTATTGGATCGCTATATTTTTTAATTATTTTTATAAAATATTTCATAAATAAATAAAAAATATTATAAATTATCTTACTTATAAATTCGTATTATAAAATAAGATAAAAAAAATTCAAATAAAATTTTTTATAACATAAATTATTTTTTG